CATTGTCATCAAAAATACCGAAAATTTTCATAACCCGCAACACAAACATCATTACAATGTTGTCCCTCGTCCTCGACACAAATATAAACCCCAATGGCAATTTCAAAAGCACCTGGTTCTTTCCGAAGGCAGAGCATCCCGCCTCTATTATCATAAAAACAAATGAGCCCATCTGCCCAATGGCGAACCGGAACTCCGCCATTTTCTTGCTTTCTTCAACGAGGCCATCGCATCCCTCTTTTTAATCCATAAAAGGCGCTGACAGTTAAGTCCGACTGGTCGGTGTCGTTTGCTAGGCATTTCACGCACTGCGTATCGCACATTGTATCGACGAGAACTTTACGCAGGCGCTTTCCAATTATGAAACATCGCTGGCCTTGTAAAGGGAAATTTCGCTTTCCATTTACACGAAAGGTAATGAAGGCAGTTGCTTTTCGTTTATTTGGCCATTTTGAGATCAATGACATTATCGCTAAAGGCATCATCGATAAACAAAAGTCAAAAGGAAAATTTTATATATGAAGCTTAGGACAAAGAAATATACGCCATGAACATACAGAAAAAGGTAATAATAAAAAAATCACAAAAAAACACACAACAAATGAATGTTAGATATCTTTCGCAATTCTGAATCAGATCCAATTTCACTTTCCAAAATTCCACAATTTGTGAAACATCTTTCGGGACTCATTGACTAGCTTCTGTTAGAAACTGGTTATGAGCCACTCTGGGTAGATTGCCTGCAAATAATATAATTCACTGATGGTCACAGTATTTCCCAGAATACCCTCAAATTTTTTTATGCTAATGGGTAACATTCCTGCTTCTATAGGTTAACTCCATCTCCTTCTTTTTAGGTAGATTACGCAGGATCTTTCATTTTTGAAAATTGAAAGGAAAGCGTATATAAACTCTCTCTTCACTTATATGTTTCACGACCAGAGTTTCTGCATTTAGAATCAATAATAAAATTGGCTGCTAAATATTTCATCGCAGCCTTAGTTCATTTTATACCAGGTAGAAATAAATAATACACAATTCAAGATGATACAAATGAGTTTAACCAAATTGGACATTTTTTACAAGACTATTCAACCCGAATATTGGAAACTATAGTGTTGAAATGCACCAACGAGACCATCTCTCCACTATATTACTATATATTTGATGACAGAAGTGAAGTCAATGAAATTTCACCAAAAATAAACAATGGGCTTTGTTCAAGGATATTTTGTTCTATTTTAATGAAAATGGGAGGCATATTGAATTCCCATTCACTCACATCGTTATTCACAGATCCAAATTGATATATTCCTCTAACTATGGCATGTTTTTTTGGATTTAGGAATAAATAAACGACTTACAATGTCGCCACCCGCCCGGCAGTGAGGAGCGTTGGAATATCTCCACCAGATGACGTGTCATCCGTGGAGGAAAGAGTCCTCCGTGCCAAAAAGATGCATGAAGGTGTACCTGAGCAGGTCACCAAATGCTCACAGTCAAACCATGATGCACTTAAACTAGTGCATCATGGTTTGAGCTACACATTTCGATCTTGATAACTACAGTTTATCTGAGAGGGGAATACCTCCTGGCTGGTGGAAACAGTTGGTCATTCAAAGCAAACATTCAAAGTTAGCAACCTGTTTGTTTCTATATAATTCCAATCTATGGGTATATAATTTCAAATATATTCTTTCTCAATTCTNTCGCCAACTCAGTCAGTAAAAAACATTTATTTATCAAAGTATCAGGATTTTGTTGTATGGAATGAAAAAAATTGAATTATGAGGAATTGTGACAAAGTACAGAATTTTTGAATAATCTATTCGTCAGTTGTCAATAATTATACATTTCTCAGACCTCCAATTACTGATTATATAGTGCGGACGTAAACATGTATCATTATCAATACTTTTTGATGAGATGTTGCATCGCTCGTTGCCAAGAGGGCGCCACCAATTGATGTTCTCAAGTTATAACTCATTATATCTCATTATACATCTGGAGACAAGCTAAATTTTGTTTCATGAGAAAGAGAACACTGGCAGATCAAGATCTTCTGTGGTGGTACAGGTTTTTCCGGGTTTTCCTGCAGCAGAAAAAGCAAATGCGCCACTGGAATCACTGAGGTCGGCCCGAAGCGCCAATCAATTTTTATTGTTGTTTTATAATTTCACAAATAAAGTTATTTCATTTCTTATTATAACAAGATCTATCAATTTTTTTTCAATTTTTGAAAGTCGGTTTAGCCGATCCTGAGTATTTAGCACTTTAATATTCGTTCTGAGAATCTGCGAACAAACGATAGTATCATTATTTAGAAAAAACTGTATCCCATACTCACTTCAGTTCGTGAATATTCAAACACTGCTCATCATTCACTTTCTGAAATACAAATTAATTTCTTACATTGTGGAATGTTTCTGAGGTATTCCCATTAGGAGAACCATGAGCTTTGGAATAGACTGCGGTTTTGTAGATTTCACGAATCCCTACAAACAATCTATAAGCGTCATGTCATGTAATCTAGCAGGTCATTCTGAGGGAGCAGATTTCAAACCAGCCTTATCTTGCTGAAACGTAACATCAGTTGAAAACTCATTTGGGTTTGTCAATTATTCAAACAGGTATACAAGCAGACGTGGTTCTTCTGTAGATCACGCCTCTAGATGTTTCTGAGGAGATATATCTGAACATATAACCGCAAATAATTTTCAGAACTCGTGGAAAGAAAGAGAGGTGCTTACTTCGAAAGAACACTTCAGCAGTTATTTGCATAACTGCGAAAATTGAACTTCGCCTTTTACTATAACTTTATATATGTAGTTAGAACTTAATATTCTGATTTTTTTTAGTGGTTTTAGTAATGAATACGTTTATTATTATTATTAATTTTCCCAGGAACATTTTGAACATTCATTAGAATGAACTGGAGAGAAAATTGAATGATTTTATTATCGAAATTATGATATTTATCGTAGTTGTAAACTACAACTATGACAACAAGGGAAATTTCGAAATATAAATATGTATACATATATCCGTTTGCACGATTGCCTAACATTTAGTTTCTTTTTTCTTCTGAAAACAGCAGAGACACAGAAGGCAATTTTCAATACGGTCATCGATCTTGTAGCCAAGCTTTTATTTATGACTTCACCTACTTTTTTATTAATTAACCTGNAAATTATATTAATCGTTCTATCGATTCCAATAAAGATTTCATAAATTTTTTCAATTTTTTTGTGTTGTTTTGAAAATCAAATCTTATATCTCTTAAAAAATCACCCAATAACATTAAGTTCTTTCAAATATTTTGTCCATTTTTATCAATCTACTTCTAACTGAAATGTCTCACTGAATATACATTCAATTGAATCGAAATAGGAGCAATTTTAATCAGTCCACTTTTTCCAACGTAGCACAAGTCAATAAATTCCGTCAGCATAAAAATTGAATGCTCGAGATTCGATGAAGTGGACGGAAGCCGTTTTACCTGGTCCTGAAGATTCTACCAGACAGAAAGTTATCGAAGTGCTCGAAAAGATGGTAGTCGATTGGCGGGAAGTCTGAGGAATATGGTGTGTGAGACAAAACTTAAACGCTCAATTCGTTCAATTTTAGGAGAGTGAAACGTGCGAACGAATATTGACGCAATTTCCGGTACATTTTGTCGATTTCCATACAATTGGACTTTGCCGTAATGGTTTGGCGCGGTTGCAAAAAGGTATAGTGTTAGTGAATCACACCAGCCGCTGATCACCATACAGTAACCATAGTATTTTTTGGTGGATTTTCGCCTTTGGTGGCTCATTGTTATCCAACCACTGTCTTGAACATATCTTATTATCGTAGAAGACCCACTTTTCATCACACTTGACGATTCGATCCAAAAAAGCGTCGTATTGGTTGCGCAAAAGCAAAGACCAGACCTTGAAACGTAAGACTTTATGTTGATCGTTCAAATCGGTCAGGCTTCTTGGCCTTTCCAATACATTTAAACACATCAAAAAGCGCATGGGAGCTGATGCCCAGTTCTTCTGCCATCCCAAGCACAGTTTGTGATGGGTCAGTCTCCAACATGGTCCACAAATCCTCGTCCTGGTCGACTACTTCTAAGCTTATTTTCGAGGCTAAAATCTCCGAAAGGAAGTTTCGCCAACCAACGTCTAACAGTGCGTTCATTATCAATCTCATTTCCAAATGCCTGATTGATTTTTCGAACTGTTTGAATTCCCATAAAATTTGGAAAAGAATGAACAGCATCAATGTATAGACTACAAAATTATCTATCCATCAGTATGTAACATGACACAGTAGAATAAATATTTATGGAGATATGGAGCTATCAAAACACATCAAATTAAAACGGATAAAACTTTGGAAACAACCTAATAGCATGGAGGTGAAAAGAATATATGGAAAAATCAATTCAAGAAAAGTAATATATTTCTGAGAAAATTCAGAATAACAGAATAGTTCAACAAAGAAGTATCTGTCGTAAGTACAATCTAATTGTTATTCAATAACTTTTGAAACGAAATATACAGGGTGGTCACGGTTCTACAGAAATAATTTGATATCAAGTAATTTTGAACAAAATTTCCTAATCCATTTTGCTCTTTGATGCATAGTTCAACTAAAAAATATTGTAACCTATATATATAGTTATTGGTATGAGTTAACGAATCTACATGGTAGTTATTCATAATAGGGGACATATCGTTATGTTTATTGTTCATAGAAAAGTTTCGTGAACCACAGAAGGGGCCCTGGAAGATCTTAAGGATCATTGTGGACAGTTCTAAGACATTGGTATGCACAATCAGTATGTAACGTTGAAACAATGCTGTTCCATAACCGTCATCTTCGAGTTTGCATTCTTTCTTTCGAACCTTACAGTCAGTGGTGTGCGAAATTGCATGTAATTCAGATAATACCAAAATATTTTCTTACAAATGAGCATATACAATTTTAAATTATTAAAGTATACTTACACTGGGAATATTATCATTATTGCAAACGCCTTCTGAGAGCAATCTGTCCCTTATCTCCCAAGCAAAAATAGAGGGACACTCCCTCTTGAACTCAGCAATCTTATTCACCACCGGCGTCGTCGCCACCCTCGGCTTCGAACCTCCTATCGCCCTCGGTTTGATTGAGCCTGTTTCATAGTACCTGTAATCATAACTACCATCAGCCAAACATACAGATAGAGCCGTTTGGGACTGTTACCTGCCGAGGATTTTGGAAACGCATCCGTTGGACACTTGAAGGATTCTGGATATGTCACAGGGCCTGGCACCCGAATGAGCAAGTTCAACAATTTTTTGGCGGGTAGAGTCGGGAAGGGGCCTGCCGTTGACATAGACACCCCCCAGTTGGTTAATACCGCTGTGGCCGGCTGTTGAACATCCGAATATTGTGTTTTGGCTCATGTGGTGCATGAGGTCCTCTTCTGAAAATAAGCATGTGGAGAATTAGTGGAAGAGTATTTCGACACGATTACCAATTATCTATTAATAGTTTTCCTCTCCCCATAGGGGCGGGGAACTATTTGCTCATTTCAATCGACTGGTGATGAAGTTATGAGAAGCTACATCGTAAAAACTAGAACAGATTTAAGCAATCAGAAAGTTATACGTAGTGAAACACAAAATGGAGAATAATTGAAGCTATAGGAATTTCTGAAAATCTTTGTAATGTAGGTCATTCATGCAAGCTACCTGGATGGAACACCAAGAGTCCTATTTATCATCTACCAGTACCCTCCGTAGTGGTAATACTACAAAGTCGTGTTATAATGATACAATAGTCTATTCCTCTGAGGCACTGGTTAATATGAAACTTCGATAAAGGTTTTTGAAATTTTTTTCTATGATTTCTTTGATTTTGGCTAAAATTGTATTCTTTTTTCTCTGAGTCAGTAAGGTCAGTAAAAACATTGTATTGTTTTTCTACTCCTGCAATAGAATATCGAAATAAAAAACTTACATGAAAAAATATAAATGACAACTTCTATATTTACATTTTTTTTTCAGATAAAAATTTTGAAAAAGATACTATTTGACTTCTTCTCAGGATATTGAATCATTTAATTTATCATCATGTTCATATTCACAAATTATTTTTTTTGACAGGATATTCGAAAAGTCATCAAAATACGATATTTTTCAATAATTGAATAGAACTGGCCGATACTTGATGAAAATCTATATTAAAACTTATTGTATGATTTTCACTATAAAGGGTTTTACAAAAACCGCGACCCGTGTGTCGCTATACAATAGCTTCCTCAAGCCTGAGGAAGCTATTGTGTAGTGAAAATCATACAATGAACTGTATTAATTAGTTTTTTTACGACATTTTTCAATTGTCACTTTCAATTTTTCTTTGTGAATAACTTTAGATGCCCAAAATATAGTTTTATAACATGAAATAAAGAAAATGTTCATCATTTCAAAATATTTTATATTTTCCCAAGAATCTAAGATTATCTGAATTAAAAACTTTCCTAATAAGCCCACTCCAAACTATACGCCAAGCTATAGCTCTGATAACAACTCAGACAAAAAATTCAAACAAGATTCGGTGGATAGAAAAATTCAAATAACTTTTACGCGTACGATAACTGTCAATATGACACATTAAAATAGTGTATTTGCACAAACTTGAAATAATACTATTGAAAACTTTAATAGTCTCTTTTGAACATTGGACCGTGTCAGATATGACAATAAATGAACATAAACGATATTTTTCCAAGATATCTTCTAGAAAGTAACCACCAATGCCTCTCTGAAATTTTTTTGTTTGTTTGTCCAGTGCTGGTGTTCCACAAGGATCTATGAAAAAAAATACAAAACATTCATTGAAAATGGTTTCCAATGTTTCTTATTGAATGTTGATATATTTCGTGAGTTGGTTTTTTTACTCGGTTATTTACCACTTCATTATTCCTCTTTACGATCACGTCTAGGAACCACAACTTTGGAATTCCTTCTGCATTGTAAATTTCATGGAATATTTTACGCTATTGAGATGTTGCAGGAGCACTTCCCGTTCTGTGTCCGGTTTCATATTATAACGGTATCATCGGTAGCTCATCAGAATCAGACACGAGACTATTTATGAGCTTTCTCATTAGCTACCATTTCAAATCATTTCATTCAACTTTGGCTGTACTGGTGAAAGTTGCAATCCCCTATCTAGTAGGTATATCGTCTTGCTATTCTGGAAATAGCAGTTCCGGACACCACATTCTATACTCTGTCCATCTAACCAACGGAGTGCTCCAAATATTATCATGCATAGTGTACGTGATCTCCCAGACAAGGCTGCTTGTACAGATTGTTGCTAAGGAACGACCCATTTTTTTTAATAACATGCGGCTGGGTGAATTAAGATCTTGAATTTTTTAAATGAATCATGTCATGGACATAGTAGGTATAATCTCGGACTATTTTTTGAAATTCAAGTATGTTGGAAAGTGCCATTACCATTGGTTTAGAATATTCTATCAAAGCTCACTACCTACTTAAAGGTTGATACATATCTCCAGATATGGAAATTGTTCAGTAGTAGTAGGGTGTCAAAATTGAAACATCATTAGTGAAAAATTCCACAAATATGAAATTTTCTTCCTCTAAGGGACATCAGTGTGTGTATGTTTATTTCTCTTGAGTTGTCAAATGACAGATTCTCAATGGAAGCTTGAAGGGAAATACATAAATATATTAAATAAATTTCGACTTCTCAAGTATATGATTGTCTATAATAATTCAACCAAAATACAATTTATTTGTCAAACCTCATAACAAAACTTTCGAGCTGAGGGGATTGGGAAGTATTTTGAAGCAGCAGGCATTAAGTGCGTTATAATCTGATAATACTTCAGTGAATAGCAGCCTCTACAGTAGGTACATAATTCGGGGGTGGATAGGGGATTTCGAAGTTAGTAAGTTGCTTTGCAACTATTCACTGCATATGCCTCTGTTTGATGTGCCATGTTATCCCAATTTGCTGCAACAATGGATGGGAGATTAATACGTTGAAATGTTCCGGAAACTGTTTTTGATCGGAAATAATTTTCAGAAAGGTTGAGATCGAAGTCTGAGTTTTTATTCCGTGAATGTTCGTAAAATATCTGTTCTATAAATGAAAAGTTACTAATAAAGTCAATTTTATGTTACTTATTTCCTTAGTGGGTTTTGCCAATAACATGTATTCTATATAGTAATAAATTCTAAGTTGACGAGCATCTAGAATGATTCGAGATATTGGAGATTCAAGGATACGCCATTTGAAATTTTAAAGAGAACACAGATATTTAACTTCTTACCTAATATCAATAAATGAACTTTTCTATAATCGACAATTTCTAAACTTCCTTGTTAATGAAAAATGCATTTTTTTTATTCAAATTCGATACAACAATCAATTGATAGCACTATAAAAGAAACATAAGAGCTAATTCATGACAATCACTCTCGCTTAATATTGAAATTTTTGACAAAATGAAATATGTCGAAAGAAACAAAAACGCTAAATGATTTTAGCATCATTATTTAGAATGCGTACAAAACAGAAATACCAATATATCTTATCGCGACTTATTGACAAGAGTACATGATGGGACTGTTTTATGCCTAGTGGAAGTTATTCAGGTATCTGCTTATAGATGATAGAATAGGGTTTTATTTTACGGATTCTCTCCTTTAGTAACGTGATGGGGCAACGAGTCTATTAAATGTGTTTTCTTTTCAGTATCAATTGTTATAAATGACATGTCATTTTCCTTACTATTTTTTTCTGAATCATTATAGAATTTCATGAAGTCTACGAAATGATTCTCTGGTTGGATGGAAGAGCAATCTCCGCCTTGATTCATCATGAGCTTGTGGAATTCTGCCTTTTGATGGGTTAGGTCAGTGTACTCGTAACCTTTCGATAGAATTACTTATTACTATTTGTTATTAGAATTATTATCATTATATAATGATTTCATTATTGATTGAGTTAGTGATTCTACTACATTCCTACGTGCTTGCATATATGATGGAATTCGTTATGACAATATGTATATAATATCGTAATGGAAACATTTTATTTCTATGCAATTTGTTCTTCCGATGAATATTTATTTGATTTAGCTTTTAGACAGATTAGGTAGAGCCTTATCTCATTCGTAACAAACAAAATAACACATCAACTATGAAAAATATGAAAATATGTCATGTAGTAACCATGACTTTCTCCACATTACTGGAGTTTACTCCAGTGATATGGTCCAGTAATATGGTTTACTCCAGTTTACTTCTGTAATATTCATTACTACACCAAAGGTTCCAAACAGTGCATCATAAGACATTCTCCAACAAATAATATTTCATTGAAGGGGTTTAAAAAAACCTTTGTTTTTTTGAAGGCGGTATAAATAGATATTCCTTTAAATTATACCGTCAACAGACACACTGCACCCATCAACAGAACCAACTTGGCTTTTTCGATAGGAAGAAAATATTAAATTATATTCTGTTGGGAGTTTAAAGGCCACGGTAAAGGGGTTACTCTCAGTGATAGTAATATTCTTCAGTTTACTTCGAGAGCGCGAGAAGCTAGTTGTTTGGGAACGGTGAAGCATCCGAAACTAACAGCATTGAATATAAATGAAAATACAATTGTTGTGAATGTGCAAAAATGCGCGAGTAAGACTGGTGTCAAAAGATCGACAATTTTTAGAAATTTTAGGAAACTCAAGGAAAACAACAGCTTTTTGGAGCCGAAAGTATCCACTGGCAGAAAGTGTTTGGTTATCGACGGAGAAGTCAAGAATTCTAATGGAAGAACAGTACACTCTTTTAACATAAAAAACGAAACACTTACATTGAATAAAGTTTTGTCAGTTATTCGTGAAGACGGGTTTTTTCCTGATATTAGAACTAGATTATGAAAGATATTACAAGAGCTGAACTTCAGTTTTGGAAAACAAGATAGAAAGAGTATGTTAATGGAAAAATCAGAGATTGAAGAATGGAGAAGAAACAGTTTGAGAGAAATCCATTTCTTATTTGGATGAAACATGGGTTAATGAGGGTCATACCGTCTCGAAAGTTTAGCAAGACCGGAACATCAAAACCCTAAAGTGTGTCTCTCAGTACAGCCACATTTTTCTACTTGTTGAAAATAACTTCAAAGTGGGGTTCAACGCGAAATTCAGATGTGCAATTTTCTAACAACGGAAACCTATTATTTGTATACTTATCTGGTGATGTTCCGACGACTTTAACCATCTTTTTTATCAATCCTGTGATAATAATATCAAATTAATTTACATCAAAAGACAAATTATGACTACAAATTGCAATGTTTTGATTTAAATAGATTACAGCAAATGTTTGGCCTTCCTATTATACATTTGTATTCATTTTTAAATTTAATATTCTGATTATTTCATATATAG